AGTCCTCAATAAGAGATTTTCCAGCATCCACTGCAAGCTTTTGCCTTGGGTTTGATTCTCCTTCTACAATATCTGGAGGCCACTGATGGTATGAAGGAAGAGAATATGAAGGATGTGTTCGACTCTCAAATTTTGGAACTCTGGTAGGCTTCTCTGGAATTGTTGCTCCTTGTCTACTAGAACCAGTGTATGTACCTTCAATTAAATCTAAAAATGGATTAAGTCCTGTTCTTGGATTTGTAAAATCACTGATGTGTGCTCTTTGATTATATATAGTATCATCCTTTTCAATTGCTTCAGCCAAACTTTTATTCCTCTTTATTTCACTAGCAAATGATTCTTTATTTGTATCTAAAGAATATGATGATTCTGATTTTGCACTTTCCACATTTTTTGTAGACAGTTCATGTGGAAACAGTTCACATAATTTTATACTTGCAATTATCAAACTCAATGTCAATAAACAAGAAGCCACTACAGTCATTTTTGGTATAATCTAAATATAAAAATATATTAATTTAATAAACATTTTATAATATTTACTAATATGAATTATTTATTAGTTGTATATTTAATCATAATTTTAATAGATATTTCTTTCATTAAAATTAAAAATTGGTCTACAGTATTTTCATTAAAGTATAAAAAATAAGTATATTGAAGATACAAAATTGTCCTCATTTTCTGTTGTTTACAAATCTCTAGCAACAGTCCAAAACAATTTTCAATTACAGCCTCAAATAAAAGGTCAGCTCTATCTTTGCAAAAATTTGTGTTAGACTTTATGAAATGACAGAAAATGAAGACAATTTTATATTTTCAATATATTTACTGTTTTAAATATATTTTTTATTTTTATATTAAACAACTGGATTCCTTTATTGTGCTATTAAGGCTAAATAAAACCGATATTTGAAGTAATTATTGGGTTGGTTGTATTTATTATAAATTTTTTTATTAGCTAAATAATGTCAAGCATCTAGACTTAGAAGTGAATGTGTTTTGATTGCCAAGTAAGATAAATTTGAAAATACTATTAGCTATATACCACATAATATTGTGATGATGCTATGATTTATATTTGGATTAATTACTGTTCTGTAGCTCATGCAACTCATAATTTCGTTGCATTATTTAAGAGTTGCATATCATGTTTAACTTTCAAGTAATGCATTATTACATGAAATATCTGTTTGCATTCAAATTATAATTTTAAACAGCAATTCAAGATCGAAATTTTCTGCATTAACATAGTTTGGTTTTCTTGTTCAATAGCTTAACATTTTTGAAAGCAAACCAAGGAGTATTGACACACAATATTTTAAGGATCAAAACTTATTATAGATTAAATAAATATTGTTTACTCATCAGATATACAAAATAAAATAATACTATTTGTCACAGAAATCTAAGCTAGTTGTATCTCTTCAGCACTGTATGTTTGAATGCAAGCAAGAAATGTTTACACTTCTTTTTCTTTACAAACAAAAGATTTTTTGGTAGCGTAATAGGAACGACAGATGTGATTTCAAACAGGAGTGAGTCAACTTCATGTTTTCCACTCTCACATACTTCAAGTTCCTTGTCGCCTTGGGATTGTTCCAGATAGCTTTTTTATATTTTTTATGACTCTACTATGACATAAATTTCAATATTTAAATAGNCTATATGAAAAAATGACTGTTAAAAAATTAATATTGCTAATGAAGCAAAAGCATCTATCTGCAGCTCTGAAAGATCCATGTTTAAATCATTGTATGAATTACAAGAATTATTTTTGGATGGTTAGCTCTTTATATGTCACATCGTGTTTTAGTTGATCCTGTTGCAGATTATAAAAGTGATATTGACTATATAGCTTATAGTTTTCTGTTATTTTATGTCAACAAATCTGCTAATGAGTCAAGATATATATTATATAGACATATAATACTGTACTACTGAAAAATAGCAAGTAAAAAATATATTACTGCTGTAATTATTATTTTTTATTGTGTTGTTTGTTTATGAAAAATTTAATACATTATAAATGAATTTAAATAATAATACTTGTTTATTATTACTTTCAAATGTATTAAAAATGTAAATTTATGCTTCAAAATATATTAATTAAATTCTTATAAGTATATCCAATTTTAAGTTTCAAGTTATAAATTAATAGATTCAAATTAATATTTTGTTATGATGTATATAAAATCATAAAAGAGAGAAAATCTTCACACTTTGTTTCTAGCAGTTTTAATTTAAAAGAACAAACGTTTATAGCATGGAAGTAGATAAAATCATTTAATTAGTGTTAAAAACAGTCTTTCTTTGAAATGTTGAAGATGATATATTAAATATCTGAATATTTTTTTTTAATTGTGGTACTAAATATCAATTAACACTAAAATTAAATCAATGATTACATTATTTTCACCATGCAACATTTTTTGGACAATTTATTATTTCTTCAGAGAAAGTTACATAATTAAATTATAAAATTATATTTTTATGATTATTTTAAATATATGTATTTATTAAGAATTCCATTAATAAGTCTGTAAACTATAAAATAATAGAAATCTGATGCAATTTTAACTTTTACAAACAAGAAAAGTTTAAAGAACTTTGTTCATATTTAAGGTTTTTAAGAATCGTAAAACATAAAAATGACATAAAAAACATTAAAAAAAAAATAAAAATAAAAATGAAGAATCGTAAAACATAAAAAGAAACATAAAAATGATAAATATAGATGGTTTCCTTAGCCCAATATCTATCTATCAATACCAATATCTATCATGCTAGAATAAATCTTGGAATTTTTAAATTTATACTTTTTATATTTTCTATAAGTAATTGTGTTCATAACGGTTAGATACATTTAAAAAATTATTTTTTTGATATAATGTGTTTTCATCTTAATATAATATGAAAACTTTAAAACAAATTATTATGTTTATATTTTAGAAATTATAATCTTTTTTAATATAAAAATAAATTGATCTTTTTTATAAGCTTTCAATAAATCCAATGAAAAAAAAAAGTATGGACTTTTGAAAATATATTGAGTTGGAAAATTAAAAATTAATTCATATGCAAATTTATTACTTTATACAAAATCTAATGATAAGCTAACATTCGATATTGCTTCAGAATTTTGAATATAGTTAATAAAAATTTCTTTCTGTAATAAATTATTTTTTATAACGAAAGAGAATGTCATTTATTTTTTAAGTCCATTTGCAGTAATTTATTTTTACAGTTTTATCTTTCTAGAATGTTTGCTTTGTTATACAAATACTAGATATCAAGAAAAACGGGAGAATTTGTTGTTAATAGTATTCTATTTTCAATTATATATATATATATA